ATACTGAGTATTTGGGCGATACCCCGATATCGGAACTTTGTCAGAGGGAGTTTCCCTCTGACCAGCAGTGCCACGAGGGAGCATGGAGCCAGCTTCCTGGCCAAGCAGGAAGCCGTGAGGCGGGTCATGACCCACCTTCCGGCTTCCTGATTGGCTAGGAAGGTGGCTTCACTTGTTGCTAGGCAGCCTGGCTTCTTGATCAATCAGAAAACCGGGTAGCACATCATGACTAGTGATGGGCTCGGGCGTGTTCGCAGCTCCATGTGCCAAGCCCGCCAGGAAGCTGACAGGTACTGAGGCATGTTCCCGGTCTGCAGCTGCAGAGATCGGGAAATGTCTCAGTGCCTCTGATTGGCGCTGTCGGGTTCCTGGCAGGCTCGGCACGTGGAGCTGCAAACATGCCCGAGCCCATCACTGATCATGACCCTCTTCCTGATTGGCTAGGAGCCAGCTTCACTTGTTACTAGGCAGCCTGGCTTCTTGATCAATCAGGAAACCAGGCGGCACGTCATGACCCGCCACCCAGCTACCTGATTGGTCAGGAAGCCAGGCTGCCTCACAGTGTCTTTGGCAATCAGGAAGTCAGGCAGTGGGTAATGACCTGCTGTCCGGCTTCCTTATAAGCCGGGCCCACAATACCTCGATGTTCGGTATCAGCGAGAACCGGGGAAAAAATATCGGTAATGGTACTTGATACCGAAAAACTGGTATTCTATATAGAGAGAGAGAGTCAGTTTATAACTTAAGAAAGGTTACCCAGGAGCAGAATATGTTTAGGTGTATGTCAGCTTGAAGTATGATAATATGTGTTGTGTTGTCATTTTACAACTGAGGAATTCCCATGGTCTTCTAAGTGCAAGATCCAGCATGTCCTTCCAAATAGAAGCTAGGGTGTGTTTGGATATGTAGTTCACTGAAAATCAGAAGTCTTACTGAGCCTTAATAGGTAATTTACAAGTGTTCAGCGGTTCACTGCCTAAACACATTGCATTTCTACTTTTCCTTCTACCTGCAAGCGACTTTGTTCTTGTAAATGTCCTCTATGATCTGAGCTGATCCTATTATCCCATTTATGAAGTTTTCAAGCACCTACTCCTTAAGGGCTCACTTGGGATGCTGTTAATTTAGTCTTACTAAGATTTTATAGCCATTGTACTGCAATACCTCAGTTTTATTATGCCCACCTGACTCAGCAAGCATCGGTCTCCTTGTACTTACTCAGCAGTATCTCTCCTACTTGCCAAGGTTCTTGGATAGAGTTTTCAAAGTTATCATAATCCAAAGCTTTGAAGTCGAAAGCCCCCCTTTACAGAGCTGTTAAGGCGCACACCTAGCACAGTCTAGGGCCCTTCTCTCATGTGTCCCTCTGCTTTGCTATAAGAACAAGAACCTGTTAAAACATAACAGACTTGTCCATCCTGAATCTCCTCTCTATAGTTTATAAAACATTGTAATGTCATTGGTATTCGGAAAATAAATACCATGGCAGAACTTCTGCTATAGAAGGCTACTTGGCTTCGATAGCTCCCATTACATTCTCTTTTTTTTTTTTCCAGTGCCATATTGAAAATTGAAGGGTATAATGTTGTTAAATTGGGCTGCTCAGACAACGGACACAGAGGAAGACTGGGCAGAGAAGCATTTGGTATCCCCTTCCCTGAGTAATTGCCCTCACAATAAACTGGGCTGGCTGCAGTCAGTGTCAGAGCGTAGATTTACGAAATGGCTGCTGGTGTTCACTCTTGAGGAAATAGTTTTAATTAGTACACAAGAAAATTATGTTGTTCCCCACTCTTCCATCCTTTTAGTGGGAGTTTGGGTAATAAATGATGGCATACACAACTCAAAACTTCCTTCCCAAACCCACTAGTTGAGAGGCCTATGTCAACTGGCTTCTCTTCATATCAAACAGATTTTGTTTCCCATACAAGTCTACGTAAATACACACACGAAGCAGGTCAAGTACAGGTGAGAACAAGGTCTGCTGCAAGACAAATGCACCTGTCAGGTAATTCTGAATGATCTTAGAAGCATCTCAAACTGATGCCGTCCACACAAGACCAAAATCCATCAACACAACCCCTAATATGGTCACATGCTCACTTCCCTTCCACCTGCACCAAGAGGATTAAGCAGGAACAGCAACTGATGAGCAGCCCCCTGCTTGTACCACTGTGCTGCATTAAATCAAACACTGAAGCCAGAGAGAGCCCAGCCAGCATGGTGGCCCATGGAGGTTCAGCCCACAGCCTTTGCCAGAACCTCTGTTAATGACTACACTTTCAGTCGATTTTCAAATGTTGCCAGTAGAAACGATAACAGGAAGTTTGCAACAGCACTCGTAGCTGGCATTGGAGCAAATGCTAGTTAGTAGCAGCAGCTCATTCATGTGCAGGATAATTGGTGGCCTGTAGATCATGTAAAACAGACCCACAACTTGATCTTATTTATTGATTACAGCTATTTATATAGCGCCAACAATTTTAAACAGCCCTTTACTTACTGTACATTCACATCAGTCCATGCTGTCAAGGAGCTTACAATCCAAGGTCCCTATCTCACATGTTAGGGCCAGTTTAGACAGGAGCCAATTAACCTACTAGAATGTCTTTGGAGTCCCTGGCCTTCTCTCAAGCAATTATTATGAGATAACATTGAATTTGATAACATAAGAAGATATTAGTGTAAAATATAGAAATGTTTTTGGGCCCAAACCCCTTTTGTACATAACTTCTTGTATTGTGTTAAGAATTGTATTTTGGATGGATGGAGGCCAGGTCAGATTGTGTGTTAAAGTATACTTACCTTTGCAGCCTTGTATGAACATCTAGCATCTAGAATATCATCCAGTCGTCTCCTCCCTTGAAATCTGACGCTCCTCTTGCCTCTCTGAACTACATAATTTAATGCTTTTTTTTTAACCTATTTTAACCAAATTCCACCTGAGATTTTTTTAATCCAAAAAGACAAACGTGAATAAATAAAAAACGATCTAATCTTCTTCCTAAACAAGCAGTCCAGAAAAGGGAGCAAACGCAACCTTTGAATCAAACATATTTGGACTTCATGCTCGCCAAATGAGAGTGAAAAAAAAAAAACAGTAAAAATTTCCAGGTCTTTTAATGTGACTTTCTGTCCAGATATGACATCACTGAAGTTAAAAGGGGAATTATTAATAGACAGCAATGGTGGCTGACGGCGAACAAAACGGACTTTGGATTTAGTACGAAATGAAAATATCCATTCCGTGTGTTTACATAGATCTGTTTGAAATATAATTGCCACCAAATTCAAAAAGCAGAGTGTAAGCTTTGGGCATCAAAATGCCTACTGGCTGTGGTATATGAAGAGCCTGCCAAACTGATCAGACTTTCCAGACCTGGCACAGAGCGTGGAAATTAAAGCCTTCTAACCATTGAAATAACAGCAGATACAGTAAGTGTTTTAAATGCTAGAGTACGAGAGTACATATTTGAGAAATGTAATGTGTTTCCTATTACTGAATGCCTTTATTTTTATTTTTTTACGGAGACCGGTATCTGATTTTTTTTCCCCCTTTTTTTTTAATCCATTGTAGAGCATAAAACACTTAAGGACCTATGAATTTAAGCCTTACGTGATATTCATCAAGCCACCATCCATTGAACGCTTGCGAGAGACCAGGAGGAACTCCAAAGTGATCTCCAGCAAAGATGAGCGGACAAGCTCAAAACACTTTACAGTAAGTGGTGCTAGAACGGTGAAAATAATGTAATTCTTATTCCACAGAGCAATTACCAGTAAACTACATGCAGTTACCTTTTGATGCTTTCATGCTACTCGTGATGACCCATATAATTCTGTTCTAAGACTTTCATATAGTAGTAAATCTGAGCATGTATCTGTCTGTTTTCATGTGATTAAAATGAAAAAATAGTAACTTTGTTTTTAACTTACTGTAGAGCTTTAAACCCTAGCTCCTTATTTATGTTCACTTCAGCCCACATCTAGAAACCCTAGAACCTTCTTTACATATACAAAATAATATTTCACTCATAGGTAATTAATATCCTGATAGGAGAATATGGTTTACAAAACAATTCTTTTTAAAAGCAGGTGTATAAGGAACCAGATTAGATACAACTGAATGCGAATTACTACATGCCTAAAATCAGAAAATGGGATGTGTCACAAATATTTTACAAACAAAAGTGAAAACCAACAAACTAGTTGTCTCTTTTACTGCTAATAAGATAAATGGAGTTTAATTTCAGGGACTGTATACATAAAATGTGTGCTAACAAGAAAATGTCTTACTGCCCCTAGCAACCAATTAGCTTCCAGCTATCATTTTGCTGTCTAGGTTTGTAAAGGAAAGAAGGGTTCAAATTGGCTGCTGTACACTATTTCACACATAAGCTTATAAGCCTTTTCATTAAAATATAGGCAGATGCAATTAAAGTGTAATAGCTGTAACGTTTTGTTGACTTTAGCAACCAAGTAGAATCTGTTTCTTTTTCAAATATGGACCGAGAAAATTACAGTTGAAAGGTGATTGGCTATTACAAGATTTTATTTTTCTATATCATACTTTTCAGTAGTTTGTCTTGCATACACTGTATGGGATAAGTTGCTAGCAGTCGGAACACAAATGCAGTATGAAAATACATAAAATAATAATCAGTTATTTCACAGCATATTAAGGACAGCGCTATGCAGAAATGTATTCCATACAGGGCATACAAGGCACTTGCATGCATAATGTCCTATAACGTTTACGTTACCCCATCTTGGTTAGTGACAGATTCATTTTGATCGGTTACTATGGGGTTTCACTTGTCACTTTTTTCCCATGGGGCTTGTGTACACGGGCGTTGTCCTCTTGCGTTTGATGTTTTCCAAAAATGCACGTCAATCGCAGCTCAGAAAATTTCTATTTACCTTGATGCATTGTGGATGACAGTTCTGAGGCTGCGTTTCACCTACTTTGCATTGTGTTCCTCTTGCCACTTCCTATTAACTTCTATTAATACTCAAGGCAAAGCAGACCAAAAGCAGCCTTTTGCTGCAATTTCCTTCACAAATATGTGTTAAAGCGCCCCTGCATTCAACAGAAGAAAGCAGTACAAAAGGTCCCTGGCACATTTTCATGCTAGCCAGCCAAAAAACAAACAAACACATAACTAAACTGTTTCAACTACTCGGGTTAAAAAGAGAGGTTTTGTTCCATATATTTGCAAATATACATAGAAGCCACACTGCCCGTCACAGCACTTCTGATAAGTGTGGTCCCTAATTCCAAACTATCTGAGTTCCCAACTATGGGACATATACTGTATAGCAATACAAAGTAGGCAATACAAAAGCAGGACGTGTACCAGGGACCGTTTGTATTGTCATGTATTTAAATCTTGCCCTTTTTGCTAGTTTTGAACAGATAAAGGTGGCTGCCACTGTTGCGGATTTTGGATTGGATACAGACACACACTGGAAGTCTTCAGCTGCCTTGCAAAGGCAATCTCAGGGCTTTGGTTGTGTTGCTGTACCTTCAAGGAGGACAGGGCTACCTCCAGGTGAGCCTGCTCTCTGTGCATTGCTATATTTGTCATGTGTTTGGGAACTCAGAAGTGCCTTAATGCGGCAGTGTTGCTTCCACGTGTATCTGCAAACATATGCAGTTAAAGTAGAACTGAAACCCATTTTTGTTGGGGGGAGGGGGGTTAAAGTAAGGGAGGGTTTTAATCCCTGTTAGCTTTTTTGCCCTCTGTGTCCCATTGGGAGATTTCCATTCACTTCCTGTCCCATAGCCCAGTGGCGACTCTAGGAACAATATGTAGGGAGGGCACATAAGATACAACAGTCAAATCTGGGGGGGCACTAATAATTTTCATTGCATGTCGCAACCGCGGGGCACCGATGAGCTGATTTAATTGCGGATGGCATCGGCACCCCGCGGTTGTGACATGTAGTCCAACTCCCCCCACAATCCTCCATACCGCAACGGCCGGGCACCGATGCCATCCGCAATTTAATCAGCTCTCGGCGTCCGGCAGTTGTGGAATACAGCATGGGCTAACTGGCAACTTTTAGCCCAGGGGGTAAGTACAACCGAGAGGCCCATGGTGCAGCAACTTAGCCCACCCTGCAGCTCTGCCTCTTCCCCCACCTTCCCCCCGCCCCTGGCTGCCACTTTTAGCATCCATGTAACACTAGTGTGAATGGTCGGGTGATGTGAGGACTAGTGATGGGTTCGGGCGTGTTCGCAGCTCCACGTGCCGAGCCCGCCAGGAAGCTGACAGCGCCGCAGCGCCAATGACAGGTACTGAGACATTATCCCAGTCCGCAGCTGCAGAGATCGGTATATGTCTCAGTGCCTGTGATTGGCGCTGTGGTGCTGTCAGCTTCCTGGCGGGCACGGCACATGGAGCTGCGAACACCCCCGAGCCCATCACTAGTGAGGACCATAAAAGGGGTGACTGGCTGGGGGATGGTGTTCTCCTCCCACTGGGCTCCCTACCTGGTTCTGGCCTTACTCCGCTCCATGTCCGCTACTTAGGCACTCTCGCCCACTGTAGACCTCCGCTGGCTGTCCATGCTTCTGGGCTGTAAGCTGTGGGAGGGGCCAGACAATGTCAAAGTCAGTGTTCTATAATTTTTCTCGCCCCTATACCTTTTCTCGACTGTGTCACTTCCAGTGGGGCAGAGTCATCTGAATCAGATGTTTTCATGACATGCACACCTAGAAGTGATGCAGTAGAGAAATTAATGGGTTGAGGAAAGTTAGAACGCTGCAATACATTATACAGCAATGCAGAATAATATGAAGCTACATACTCTGTGTTGCTGCAGGGTGGTGGCCTGATATCCCGAAGGTCTCAGGGGGCAGTGTGGGGTCTCCTCTGGGGTCCGAAGGGTCTTTTGGGCAGCAAAAGCAATGTAAGCAGCACTGTGGTTCCCCAGGTAGGAGATGTGCAAATGAAGCTGTAAACATGCGCCACAGTTCACAGGACGTCTACTGAGGTCCCCAGTAAGCACAGGACCTCAGGCAGCCACTTTAGTTTGAAATTTTAAAGTGTCGGTGTTCTTTCAAAGTTTGGGACTACGTTGGAATGTATGACCAGTCACACATTTTAACGTAATCCCACCCAGTTTTACAGCGGTGGAATGTGTGACCGCCCATCAGGTCAAGCATTCCAACACTTTGTCTGCTGTTCCAGGGCAGATCTGCTCACTGCGCATGTTCAGGAGAATCGCTCTGCATTACCTAATCTGCCTGAAACTCCTGATTGGTCCTCAAATGTCAATTCTATCCGACTTTGTCAGTGCGATCTCACATTCCACCGCATTCACAAAGTCAGCTAGAAGTGACATTTGAGGAAGGATCAGATGTTCCAGGCAGATGGGGTAAAGCAGATCGGTTCTCCTGCACATGCGATGCCGATGTGTCCTGGAACAGCTGACAAAGCGTTGCAATGCGGTCACACATTCCACCACCGAAAAACTAGGTGCAATTACGTTAAAATGTGTGGCCACGTGACTGGTCACACATTCCAGCGTAGTCACAAACCTTGATAGAACACCGGTATCTGTGTTTAGTATTGGGGCATTTTCACGAGTATGGGTACTCATGAAAATGCCCAGTATCGGCAGAGATACCGGTATCGGTATTAGTGCCTCCCTACTTTTAAGCATTCAAGCCTGGGACACTGCAAATGAGAAAAGGCGTGAGGGGTTTTCATTTTGTAAACTGTAGGATGGTATTAAAGAAAATTAGCCAAAAGGAGGAACTTTGTATTCCATGAAAAAAAAGCCCCATAGAAAGCCCTGTCCTGCATGTCTGTAGAATAATCATTATGGTCACTGAAGTAGCAGTCACTGTAATAACTTTATTAGTTGTTGCTGCAGCTGGGAAACAGACAGTTAAACCCTTGTGCTGTCCATGAGGGTCACTATCTGCTGAACTGGTGGTCTAGAAATCTGATAAGGATTTAGCTGCACAGTGCACACTCCCGACAGTACAAAGATCTTTAATTTATGGCATTGCACCCAGGATCACTCTCTCTCTCCCCCCCTTGCCCCTTACCCTTTAGAACTCCGGTGGCACCAAGAGAAGTGCTCTGACAGTTCACAGACTATGTATTCACATGCCCTGCACCTCCACCTGGGACCAGGAGCAAGTGTTAAAAAATGATCGTCCTTGCAGAGGGAGAACTTACTGTGAGGAGCTTCACTCACTGCATGACAGGCCACAGCTACGGCCACAGTGCGGGCTCAGCAACTTCAAAGTCAGCAGCAGGGGGGCGGGGCTGACAATACAGCTACATCCAGATCTCTACAGACAGCCGCTGGAGCTGCTCGTATACTAGCACTCGCACTGGAGCCACTGCACCGCTGCTTAATTTAGCGGGGGGGGGCAAAGCATAACACAGGGGGGGCAATTGCCCCCCTGTAGTGACGCCTATGCCATAGCCACAAAAGGAATTCAGAAGATATACCCCCATAGTGAGGAAAATCCCTGGTGGTCAGGAGGGTCACCAGAACTAGTGTCCCCCATTGGAAGATTTCCCATCTATCTTTGTTCTCATAACAACCTAAAATTTGGGATTTTCTTTCACTTTTAGTGATAGCAATCAGCATTACAAATAGACATAGCAATACAAACCTGACAGGTGTTTAAATCCACTCCACTCAAAACAAAAAAATAATGTTTTGGCTTCAGTTGCATTTGAAAACCTCTGTTTTGACCTGAGTAGTTGAAACAGTTCAATTAGGTTTTCTTTGGCTGGCTTAAAAGTGTACCAGGGACTATGTGTATTGTCTTGTATATAAGCCCTGCCCATATGCCCCTTTCCCTGTTTGCTAGTTTCAAAAAGGTCAAAACAGCCGCCATTGTTGCTGTTTTTTTCAAAAGCAAAAGCCAGCACCCATCACACAAACCCTTCTTTCTCAACATTTCTGGTACAAAAATCTTTTCTTTATACCAAGCCAAGGAAAGTTTATTCTTTCCTAGATCAAGCTACAGTTGAACTTTCCAACCCATTCAATATAGAATTGGTCGAGGTTAAAGTTTAAGGCATAGGTATTCAGTTTCATGCCACTCAGATTAACCTCTGTAGCATTAAACAGGTTTTATTTCCTCCTTATACGGCACAAAACCAACATTTATCAGAATGCTGCCTATTAAGATAAAAGCGGCTGCCGAATTTTACTGCACTTATTAGCTAGAACAAAATGTGTTATTTTTTCATAAAACTTTATTATCTTAAACATTTTAAACATTTTCAGGTCTGGCAATAAAGGGATTAAATAAAGCAAACATTTCATAAGTGTGCTCAGTTTACTCTAAAACCGCTATTATAGACATTCATTTTCTAGAACAGTGACAAAACTTTTATGGAGTACTTAGGAACCAAGGACATTTCCAGGGGCAGGTATGAAAAACTTGGGACTGACCCTGTAAATAGAGGACATTTGGCAATTAAACTCTTATGATTGGCAACTAAACTCCATGTCTGGCCAAATACCCCTTTCAGGCTTTTGAAATGTTGCTTTATCAGAGAAGTGTGTTTTGTGTCCGTTATACTGTAATCAGGAACTCCTGTATTCTCCTTTTACTATATCTTCCCTCCTCAATAGAAACAATAAAGTCAAACCTCGTTGTGACATAAAAGAAAACTAGAATATCAAATAAAAAAATGCTGTTGACCGCTTTTAGCCGCTAAGCAGGTCACATGATATAACCGTGCACCTTCAGAAAAATTGCAACTATTTGTGTGAAAGCAACCCAATGGGGCTTGTTGCTTCTTTTTGGCTCTTGTTTTTTTTTAAAGAGAACTACTCAGCAATGAACATTTGTTTGAATCATAACTTCCACCTTTAAAGTAGGGATGGTCAGATACCAAGTACCGTACTCGGTACAAGTACAGATACTTTTCGAGCTCCAAGACTAGAAAAATTCAAAAGTTAGGAGGCAGCTGTCATTTGTAAGGGGCACACGGAGCTCCTGGGATTTGTACATCTCATAATGTATGATTTTGTTTTTTATAAATACATATATAAGAGATGCACCGATACCAGTTTTTCAATTACAGGTACTGATACTTGTCCAAGTACTCACAGATACGAGTGCTGATAAATTTTTGTTTTGTGTCATGTGACAGTTTTTCTAAAACAATACAGACTAATGATTTCAGGACAGTGGTGGAGCGCCAGAGCCATGTCCCAGCTGCAACCCTGGTAGTTCTCATGAAAATGCCAAGTATCCGCACTGGTGTCTGAACATCCCTACTTTAAAGTCACTTTCTACTCTAACAGGGAGATAATACAGCACACATAGCTGTCCCTGAGAGGTAAGACTGTTAAGGTGACTCACATAAGACAGCAGGAAGGTAAGAATGCCCCAAAAAAAGTTAAAGTAAATAATGCGCCCATAGTAAGACCAATCCCAGCAATACATTATACACTGTATGTATAATGTATTTCCAGGATGTGTTGTATTCCTCCAATAGTTGATGGTATATTCTGCATTGCGCTGTATAATGCATTTGCTGGGATTTGTTGTATTCCTATCTCACCAGGGCACGTTGGGGGCTCTGTGGGGTCTCACCAGCCCTGGTTAAACCCTACAGAGCCCTGGTGCGGGTGAGACCCTACAGAGGCCTGGTTTAACCAGGCCTCTGTGGGGGTCTCACCAGGGCACGTTGGGGGCTCTGTGGGGTCTCACCATCCTGGTTAAACCCGACAGCCCGGTGAGACCCCACAGGCCTGAGTGGGGCCTCATGTTTAGGTTTCGCCTAAAGATTCCCAAACTCTAGAGCCGCCTCTGCGTCCCGCAACCATCCCTTGCGACTATTGGTCATCTATTCCACAAAAACCTAATTGAAATATATCTCACCATATCATCTAAACTACTACACTTAACCGATTCTCTCCTAGGACTTTAGCCCTCACTTTTTTCTCCTATCTTTTGTAGTTTTGCCTTCAAACATAAGACGGCGGCTTTCAGTGTTCCCTTTCCGCCTGAATTTTTAGCTACTTTGATGATCTCTATGATGTAGTAGAAAAGGCGGGCATAGACACACATTTTCCAGGGTGTCAGGTCCTGTATTGCAGATCATATCTTTCTTATTTGCGGAAAGGAGGAAAAGTGTTAAATGGTTCTGTTTATTTATATCTTGTAACTTTGACAGCTTCTCATTTTAAAACGATATCCTTCTTTTCCATTAGGCCACAGTTTGCCTTTAATACCATTGTATTTCCTTAACAGGATTCTTTTTTTAATTTCCTTTCATGGGTAAACATAGCTAATAAAAGTCTGAAGCATAACTGCCAACTTGCTTGAGTAGAATTCCTCATGTGTAGTCATTTCCTGTGCAGAGTCGCCTCGCGCTCTGACCGCTAATGTGTCCATGCAAATCATCCTTTTATTGGTTTGGGCTGTTGGTAAATACGGTGGGATGCCAAACATGTGGACTCGCTAGCCTGGGTTAGTTGGAGAACCCAGTGACATAAAGGACAGATATAACCCATTAGCTTGTGGTTTGTTCTGTTTGTTGGTATAAAGGACATCAAATACAGTAGGGGTCACAACATGTGGTCATGAAGAGGTATCTGCATGTGATCATGAAGAGTCCAGTGAAATGAGATGCAGGAGGCTGGAAGGAGATCTCACTGGGATTTATGAATTTATACTACGCTACAAGACATGTTGTTCAGGCTGACAAGTAAAATACGAATAGTGGAGCCTGTTTAAAGTGTACCCGTCGCACATTCACAGTGACACAGCCATTTGGACAGTATTCATCCAGATATAAAGAACTGTTGTGTTCACATTGCCCTCATTACGCTGTGATATCTCAAGATCCTAATAAATTCCATAACTGCATTCTCATGAAAAGTATTTCAGTGTACACAACAAATTGGATAATCAGAAAGGTTATGGTGAGATCAGCAAAGGAACCAAAAAAGCACTCCACTAGACCAGAATAGAGCCATCTTAAAACTTATTGGGGTTGATTTACTAACGGCAAATAGGCTGTGCACTTTGCAAGAGAATTTGCACCTTGCAAGGTAATTTCCCTTTAGCTTAGTGAATGAGGTGAATCTTGGCTGACTTCCATCAGCCAATCATGTGCAAGAAAAAATACAGTTTTTTCATTGTACGTGATTGGGTATATTTTGCAAAGTGAATTTTCATCATATTTAGTAAGCTGAGGGAAAACAACCCTGCAAAATGAACAGCCTATTTGCCATTAGTAAATCAACCCCATGGTATCTGCATGCCTCACTTCCATCAGAAATCCCCTTAATAAAGATTAGCAATAAACCATTTTTTGGAGGTTTTTTTTTTTTTTTTAAGATTCCTAGTGCAACTTGCAGATAACTTCTCTGTAGAATTGATTTTAGCCTTCCTTACCCTAACAGCTGTATGTAGTTTAGAATAAATGGCTAATATTAGGTTGGGTATGGTAAATAGCTAATATTAGGCTGGCCATGGTTCCGAATGCTCAGTTAGCCCTGAGTGCATACAGTAATTGTTTGCATGGCCCCGCTCACTATCCTAAAATGAGTATATCTGGCAAAAGTACATTTGTCTGTCTTGTCCTCTGGTTCTGTAAGCCATTTAGAACTGTGAGATTTCTGAGAGATAGGAGGAGCAGAGCAATGATCTCATCAACGTGCCCGTGCTCCTTCAGTGTCCATTCACAGGCTTGAGTGGGTCCTACACTAGGCTGCTTTGCTCAGCTACAGTGTAATTCCCAGGTAGGTCCAGGACCTGGCTGTGTAGTGTTGATGACAAACCTGGCTGAATAGAATTACAGGTCTTTTAGAGAGTAAAATAATTCATATGTATATAATGTGTATTTAGCTGTTTGTCTGGAGTTTCATTTTATTGTCTTAGAAGCTTTGCTCCTCTATATAGTATTTAAATCTAAATGTACATGGGGAGGGGGCATGGTTGCTTCCATTTTTATTTATTTAATATCATTTAGTTATTCTTCTGCTGAAGGAGTCATGAGACCCCGGGGCAGGGTGATAGAGCCACATATTCTAGAGTGGAGACATTAGAAGCTGGTGGCTTTTTCAATCCTCAAGTATCATTTTTGGCCAGAATGACCCTTTCAGTATATTCATATGAATGACCTACAGTGGTCGCACTTGCTGTTTACTAACGTTTGTTAATTATTGTTATTGCAGGATGAAGACTTTGAAGAGATGATAAGATCAGCGCAGCTCATGGAAGCCCAATATGACCACTACTTTGACAAAATTATAATAAACGATGACCTCACTACAGCACACAATGAACTCAAATCTAGTCTGGACAGGCTGGAGAGAGACAGCTACTGGGTTCCTGTAAGCTGGCTCCATTCCTGAACTCTGTAGCACCAATAGTTTTTATTTTATGTTCTTTTTTAAAAATATCTGTACAAACGCAGTGGGATTCCTCATCCACTCTGGCTGAATGCATTTTGAGTCCCGGTTTTCTTTTGTTTCCCACAAGAGATGGCTGAAAACGTCATAGATTAGACGTTCTGTATGTAAAGAGTATGTGCTGAGTAGGACAAACTGGAAGTAGATTTAATGTCGTCTATGTGTTTTGTCATTACAATGGACCTCTATGAAGTGTCTGACCGAAGAACCATCTGTGTTTCTCACTTAAAGTAAACCTTTAAAATGTGGGGGCTGCCATTGCTCACCCTCTAAAAATGCTAACTTTGCCTGTGTCCAAAGGAATGTACCATACCACCGCAATCTCTACAAAGCTGGAATGTTTATTAGAGGCTCCAGAAGAGCCGGTGCATTTTGGGGACCTGCGTCCCCTTCATCAAGGCTAATAAAAAACATTTGATATTAGTTATTAAACGGTATAATATTAAACATATAATGCCATAAAAACTGATAAAATATGTAACTTATTTAATCATTAATATGTTCATAAAAATATGTATTCACATGTTTAATAGTATATGTATGATTCTTTATTTTTATATCAAATATGTTTATCAGTCCTGATGAAGGGGTCACAGATCCCCGAAACGTGTTGGCTCTCCTGGAACCTTAAATAAAATTCTAACTATTTATCTAGACACTGCCTCTCCTGACAGAGTGCAGTGCTCTTTCTTTCACCTCTTGTCTATGCCCGTGAGACATATCTGTGTTATCAAGATAGTAATTACAGGTAATTATAATTACCTGATTTCCAGATCACGGCAGAGTAAGAGTCTTTATCTGCATTCTTGTTCTGGGGTAGTGACTCAAGGTACTTAAGTTATAGAGATTTACTATGACAGCCAGGCAACCAGCATTTGCAGAAAAAGAAGACGGCAATGGCAGCCTTGGTGTAACCTTTAACAACCAGTTAGCTTTAACTTTTCTTGGTCTAACAGGCCTTAGCAACAGGAAATGAAGATGTGGTTTGGTTGGTTGAGGGGAAGCACAAGCTGTTCTCAGGTCAGACAATTCATTCTTGAGTACAGATAAGCATGGGCTTAGTGTGGACCCAGTTCGCCCAAGCCCGCTTAAAACTGTGACCACTGCCTCCCCTCCTGGCAACAGTGGTGGCAGTTGCAGTTGTGGAGAGGCACGTTCCCTGCCCCTTTGTGATGTATGGCTGTGGGGCAGGGAATGTGCCTCTCTGCAACTGATTGGGTCAGGAGGAGGAGGTGGCGGTCACAGTTTTGGGCAGGCTTGGGTGAAATTAGGCAAACTGGGTTCACACCAAGGCCAGGCTCATCACTATTCATGAGACCTAGTGTTGTTGTGGTCCCTAGGGGTTCACTTTAAGGTGCGCCTGCTGCCTTTCCACATTCGGGGATCCCGGTGTATTGGTTCATTATATTGTCAAAAGGATACTACAGGTTTGTTTATTATTAAGAGATGATACTACTGGTGTACGAGGGGCTTAACCTGTCATGCTTCTACTGTAAGTAGGTGGGATACCAGTAAAAAAGTTCCTGCTATGATATATGGAACTTGTGCTGTGAGTTTGACACTATGCCAACCCTACGTTTGGTGGTTAGTAAAGCTTCAGTGACTATTAGCACTCGTATTCCCCTTTTATAGCAGTTATCCCTGTGGCGTGCACATTTACACACACTGCCGGGGATCATTGACTTCTGGACTGCCTACATGAGAGCGGGCACAGTAACAGAGGCTGATGAGAAAGCTCCCCTAATCAACAGTTTAACCATTTATACTCGCATGTTCTGCAATGTTTGCATTGTCTCACCACCATGTGTTTTACTGCACTGAGGGTTTTAGCACTTTGGGATTTAGTGGGATTTATTACTTTCGTAGAGCTGCATTGTTATCGATTAGGTCAAAAACTTTTCTTGGTCAGAGACAATTGTATCGGGATCCGTTAGGCAGCCAGTAGGTTATATGAGTGTAATACACTGGAAGAAGACTGTATGGTAATGGATCTGTGTGATATGATACAAAAGCCTTTTAATGTACTACTTATAAAGAAACACCCGGAGGATTGTTCTGTGCACTGGCTGTCGGGAAGGAACTCTGTAGTATATGCCTAGTTTGAAAATGTGCTTCATTTACAGGATTATTTTCTGTTTCATTTATTATTACCGGAAACCTGCATTGAGAAAATGTGTTGGTTGCTACTGCTGAACCTACTCTCCAAATGCTGGTTTCCTGGCTGTTATGTTGTTCCAAAGCTTTCTAAATGACTAATCCCAAACAAGTATGCAGAGTTAATCATTTCCTCTGACTTCATTGACTGCATGCTATTTCAGGGCCAGTGACTCAGAAGTATAAAGCCAGAGACAACCACGCAACTAGCATTGTGAGCAATGGTGGCTTCCATATTGCACTCCTTAAAGGTTTCATTTAATGCCTTTGGCCCAGTTTAGTGGACGGTACTGATCTGTTATGATCATCTGCATTTCAGTAAGGATCATCAAGTGTCTGAAATAAGAACCGAGTGTATTGTTCGAAAACAACCGGTAGATTTAAGCTTTAATTCTCCATCTGTCATTTTCCCTGGGAAGATTTAATGTGATTGTTTGCTTGGAGGCCGGACGGACAGTTCCTATTTCAAGCACTTTACTAGACCTGCTAATGGCATATTAGCTATAGTGATCCTTCATGGGATGAGGCAAGCTTCTTCCCAGAGTGTATGGGGAGAAAGTCTTTATATTCCTTATATAATCAGGGCTTACTAAAGCAGCAACTAGACTACACTGACGCATATTTAGTTTCCTATGAAAAATCTTTCCATAAGTTTACACATTCAGATCACCGGTCAAGCATGCATGTTTATGCTTATGGAGGGGGGAGCATTGCTATATATTGGTGGAGAAGAGAGTTCAGTCAGAAAGGTCAATTGTCGATCAAACGGTTATCTGGATTGGTCGGAAGGTGTGCATGGACAAACAGTCATTGTTCAATTTTTAATTCAAGCAGCCAGATCTGGTAAAGATCATCTTTTGTCTGTGGGCCCCTTTGCATTCTGTAACCCTTAATACCCTTAAGTCAGATATCATGTGGATTGTCTATGCATGCTCCCTCCACTCTATATATAGAGATCAGCCTGGTGCAACCCACACGTGCCACTGTCCTGGTACTCACTATATGGAGCTAGTGATGGACATGTAGCCGTAATGAAGGTTCCTCAATACACTAGGAGAGGAGGTGGCATCCTGGGGTTTATATAACTTGCACATACAAGGCCCACTCTGAATATATAATTTGCATAATCCTGCAGAGACCAGCTAACGTTATCACTGCCACCATGATTGATGGGTGACTGCACTGCTTGTAATTTTGCAGAATAATTATATTTATTGTAAAGCTTTGCTAGATTTCCTGCCTTCTGCTGCACATTTAATCATGTATTGTCTTGAAAGGTCCAGTCCACCCAAATCCAACACCCTGTTAAAGCTAAACTCAAGGTATAACATTTTATGTACACTTACATTGGTCCAGTGTGGCCCCATATAAGTATACATATTTTATACCTGGTATGGCTACAGTGCTAAGAGCGATCTTTCAGATCCTGTATAATGCTGTACTAAGCAACTTTCCCTCTGCTGTGAATACGCAGCGAGTAGCTCCCTTGGCACAGCTGCCATTCAGTGAATACCAATGGCACGTTGCGTCATTACAATGAAACACTATCTCAGGTTTTGTACAGTTGAGGGAGGTGATGCATGTTGAGGGTTTCATCAATCCATTTATATAAAGGTCATTTTGTATATTAAGTTTATTAGCACATTTCAAATGATGGGTGAGCATGTGACCTCCTCCATGTGGCAGTACACAGGCCCGAGTTACCATGCGCTAGGCTCAATGACCACTGTCACGTGCCGTGGGGGGACACAGTGGCATCCTCTACCCCAGTAAGCTATTGGTGCTTACCCAGAGCAGACTCCTGAATTGGTCAGGCAGCGAGGGAGTGTAGATGGCTGAGTATACCTTGCTAGGGGGGGTGGTCTATCAAGAGACACTGTCGCTCTACTTTTTCAAGGCAAAGTAACAGTGTCTCTTTAAAGGGATGCTGTCATTTTATGTGCCCATTGATTTTTTGGAAGCTTATAATATACGGTGGCTGATGTGTCAGAGACCTTTCCTTTGAGAAATATAAGAGCAGCCATTGCTGATCTGCTTCTGAAGATTCTTGTAGCCTGGCTGTTTCACTGACCCTCTGCCTCACTGACCTGGAAAAAGGATGCAAATCAGGAAGGTTGGAGGTCATAAGGTTGGCCATACATTATGAGGTTTTTTTCTTGTTCAGCCAGGCAGCCTAAAAGAACAAAAAAAACCCTTGGTTTCCCCATTCACACTAAGCAGTAGGGAGCAATATCCCCCACCAGCCACTGTAGTCTGTAGCTGACACCCACTGTGTCAGAATACCTGTACAGTGACTGCAGCTAAACAATATTCAGTCTGGCTCCTTTGACAAAAGTCCATTGAAAAATTGCCTTTTGTTGATTGGAGGAGCGCCAACCGGGCTACACATCGCTTTAATTTTAGCCAAGTCAAAAGGACTTGCCCAAAATTCGAGCTGTGTTTGGTCAGCTTTAACCTCATATATAAATCCAATTGTTTTTGTAATCCACAAACATGTACCAGATATGTGCTCCCCAATACAATGAAAATCCTCTTACGCATTTCACCGATAAGGCTTAATCATAGAGAGGAACTCACTTTCGTTGTATTGGGGAGCACGTCTGTGGTACACATTTGTGGATTACAATAAACATTGGATTTATGTTTGTAGACCCTGTGGTGTGCGGCTGTCTTTTGAGCTGGATGGATTGAAGGTGAACACCCACCTGTTTTGCCTGCACCTCTGGGATCTCTGTGACATGGATGCAGATGGAATATTGGAGCAGTGAGATGTAACGTATTTCATTGAAACAGACCTTTGATGTGGTGACTGTATTAGTTTTCTTTTTCAGTCTTTTTTTATGAGCTGATGATCTTGCCAGTAACACACTTCCTGTCCTAGAGTGACA